ACACACACACACACACACACACACACACACACACACACACACACCCCTCCCCCCCGTGAAATATGTCCCAAAACAAATCTTAGCCAATTATGAGTCCGAGATCGCGTTAAATCACCAATCACGTTAACTACTTGGAGGGTGGACCTCGGAATAAAGCTTTGCTAGCCATTTATGAAAAACACTGCCAAAAAGGGAAGGGAGTAAGGGTCGGTTGGTTCGAAAAGCACAATAGCTAAGATGAAAAGGCAGAGGGCTGGAACCGACAGATTCCCCCGGGGGCGGAGCTTCTGGGTCGGGCAGCGACTCCCGCGGGAAAAACCGGGTTCCGCATCTGACCGCTCAGGTGTTCACCCCGACACCCTCGTCCACTCCCTTCCTTTACGCACCTTTCCGCTTCTGCTTCATTTCTCCGCCGTCGCAGTCGCTACCACCACGATTAGCGTGGCTACCAAATCGGACCTCGGGGAAACTTGACAGCCACAAAGCAACCCCGGCCTGGTGTAAAATGCCGGTCAATATATCGTAAAGCTGTTCCCAGAAGGCGGTGCGCGCAAAGACCCGCCCCCGCCGCCCCGCCCCCTCCCTACCCCCCGGTCTAGCGGCGGCGCGTGGAGCCTCAGGAGGCGGGGAAACGCTGAAGCCCACGTGCTTGGGCTTTAGAAAGCTGGAGTTGGGCAGGACAGCGACAGGGTAAAGCTTAGACAGAGAGGCTGCGCCGGAAAGCCTGAATGAGTGTGGATATGGGTGGTCTCTAAATATAGGAGGTTTGGCGGGAGCACGAGGGGGAGATCGCGTGAAAACGAGCCTGCCAGAATGGTGGAAACTGTGTAAATTCAGAGCCTGCAAGAGACCATGTAGGAGTCAAGTAATAATTTGAGGCGCGGTCTTTGACGCCAGTTGGTCACCTTGGTCTCAGATGAAAGGCACATGTCATTGATAACCATCATGAAAGCTATGGAGGTCTCCCCAGAAAAATGCACACACGCACAAAGTTTTGTAGAGTTTAAAGTCAGGACTTGAGATACCGTTTTTTCCTGAAACCCATCCTTAATGTTTGTTCATGAAGTAACTAACTCCGAGTCTTTGACCCACCACAACCCTGAAACTATTCTGGTCAAGTTTGTGACCCCCCATCAAGCCAAATGCAGTATTTATCTGTCCTTATTGTCATCCTACTATAAATTGACATAGTTAGCTTTCTTGAAAAGTTTTTCATGATAGGACGCTCCACACTTTCTTGGCTTTTTTCCTATTTTGTTCTCAGTCTCTTTGGTGGACTCCTTCTCTACCTCGCCTGAAACAATTGGTGTATTACAGGGGTCACATCTCAGCCTTGTCTCTCCCAAGGTGATCCCCAGAGTACCATAGCTTTAAATACTATCTGTTCCTATTTTTATAGTCCAGCCCCAACTTCTTCATTTTCTGGCATCTTGTTAGATCTGGGTGTCTAATATGCATCTCAAACTTAAGATGTCCAAAAGAGAACTCTATTTTTACTCCACACTTGCTCTTTCCCTACTGTTCCTTATGAGGAACTGTAATACTATACCTTGTGGCTCAGCATTTGGATTTTTGCAGTTTAAACTCAAGCTGCTTACAGAGCATGACTCTACTCCTTGGTCTTGGAAACTGCCTGTAGAAGGAACAGTCTCTCTGTGCTGTTTGATTTCTGTTGATAAGTAACCCAAAAGCTTTTGTTCTACCAGCCTGAACCAGAACTAGGACGCTGACAAATGTCTGATCGTATGTTACCCTCTATTCTTGTATGACATCCCCACTTGCTGACCACTGAGTCAGCCGATTGTTGAAAAGTCCAGTTGCCCCCAAATCAGAAAACAAATAATGTAAGTTTGTGGTGTTTCCCCTAACAACCCATCACTGGGACCATCAGCTATTTCAACTTTTGCCTTTAAAAACCTAGCACTATCCTCTCCATTTTGGAACATGTCTTTGGTTCATACCGAGGGATACATCCCCGATTTGCAAATCACATATGAATAAACCCTCTATCTTAATCTCTTCTGGGATTATCTGAAGTGTCAGAGAGAAAACTACAGGCCCAAAATGGCATATATAGCAAACCTAGATTTAATAGCTGGCCTAATTGCTGTTTCAATGTTTCCTAGAAATACAATTTTTTAAAAATAACTTTATTGGGGAACAGTGTGTTTTCCCCAGGACTCATCAGCTCCAAGTCAAGTTGTTGACCTTCAATCTTAGTTGTAGACGGCGCAGCTCAGCTCCAAGTCCTGCCATGGAGGAAGCAGCCCACCATCCCATGTGGGAGTTGAACTGTCAACCTTCTTGTTAAGAGCATGCGCTCTAACCAGCTGAACCATCCTGCCGCCCTAGAAATATCATCTTTTTTTTTTTCTCATGTGGGAGTCGAACCGGCAACCTTGCTGGTAAGAGCTCAGGCTCTATGCACTGAGCCATCTGGTCAGCAGCTCAGCTCAAGGTGCCAAGTTCAGTCCCATCCATGGATGGGCATAGCTCACCATTGAACAGGCAATCTTGTCATTAGGAGCATGTGCTCTCACCAGCTGAGCCATCCTGCCACCTGTTGGCAGCTCAGCTCAGGCACAGCTCACTGGCTCATGTGGGAATCGAACCGGCCGCCCTGTTGCTCAGAGCTTGTGCTCTTAAGCTAATTCTTAACCAACTGAGCCACTCGGCCATCCCTTAGAAATATAATCTTAGTCAACCAGTCTGGAATTTTCTAACCAAGCACCAGTAAGGTAATCTATCACATGGGCCCTCTTCATCCCCTACAGAAAGAAGCAGCAGTCCGTGTAATAAAAACCTTGCCATTCCCTTCCCTCCAAAAGAGGAGGTCCTGGACTAAAAATAATACTTCCTTTTCTTTTGTTAATAGCTCCCTTACCCCACCCTTCTTCCTATAAAAACCATCCATTTTGTACACCCCCTTGGAGAGCCCATCTAGTTGCTAGATGGGATGCTGCCAGATTCATGAGTCACTTAATAAAACCAATTAGATCAAATTTACTCAGTTGAATTTTTTTAACAGGCGGCATCATCATGCACCTCATCACTCTTTTACCTCACACAAGAGACAGAGCAAGGTGGTAAATTTTAAATAGGGGTTAAGGTAGTCCTTATTGAGAATGTGATATTTGAGCTAATACTTGCTCTGCAGGTATCTAAGGGAACAGTAGTTCAGGTAGCAGGAACATTTAGCACTAAGAGCTAGCATAGGGATAACAAGAGGGATTTCATTTTCAAATTAAATTCCATCTTGTCTAGAAGGTCAGGAATGCAAAGGGAAAAAGCCCGAGATATTGATTAACTACCTGCTGCTCACATCCTGAGTGTACATAGCTAAGAGGGGGGAAAAGAACACACAATGTAATCAGCAGACCTTGCAAAAATAGCCAGCATGTTCTGTTCTCATGAAGTCAAGCACTGTAAAAAAAGAAAAGGGAAAGAAACCAGAGATTGTGAAACTCCTGTGTAAGCTTATTTTTACAGAGCTTGAAAAAAACCTTATCATGGGACAAGACTGAGCAGATACCTGCTGACCATAAGATAGAGACATTGTTTGCTGACCACGGAGACAACCATCATGGGACAGTCCGTCAGCTTGTCCCCCATCCCCAGCCTCCTGTCTCTCCTGGAATAACCTGTAAAAACCCCTCACACAATCCTGTCAAGGTACCAGCCAGCTCTTTCTTTCTTGCTGGTGCCCTGGTGTGCTAGCTATCTCTCGTTAAAGCTTTGCTTGCCGAACCTCATATCGGGTACAGTGCTCATTTCTATGACATTGGGACCCAAGAACCTGGCATTAGTTGACTCTGGCAACAGTCCTATGGTAAGAGGAAGCCTGGTGCATTCGAGGAAAGTAAGGAGGCCAGTGTCAATGGAGCAGTGAGTGAGGGGAAGTGGTTGAGGAAAGAGTGCAGATAGGGAACATATAAAATGGAGTTACTGTAAACAAGCTGCTAAAATTATTGAAAGTTGAGGCATGAGGAAATACATCATTTTTGCTCTAACTAGGCTGGGAACTTAAAATTTTTTGAACTCTTCAGTCTTGCGTCAGTGCCTGGATATACATCCACACCTCCTGGTAAACTTCTAATTACCCCCTGAAGAACTCATCTATTTAGGCCACCTGATTACCCCTATGAAGGACTCATGTATACATCCACTATCCAGACCACTGGACATGACCAGACCACCTGGCACCCATCTTTCTGACTATGTGGCATCCATCATCCTGATGCCTGACATCTGACTAATAACCATCCTGGATCAATCAATCCTAGGGCTAAGAATCAGGACTGATAATTCTCAAGAACATACTTTTTGTTATAAGAACTTTGAAGTTTTCTTTCTTCTTTGGAACACTTCTGGGTTTTTGCCTAGCTGTGTTTCTAGTTTGCAAACTTTAAGACCCTTGACTAAATCTCTATCATTTATTTCTAGCAAAGCTTCCAGACTCTTTCTGAGTTCATTCCAGAGGTCAGAGAAGTGATGGGGTGGGATAGGGTGGGTTGGAGCACAAGTGCAGCTCACGTAAGGCCTTGTAGGCCATTGTAAAGCCTTTGCTCTAAGTTACATGGAGAGCCATTGGAAAGTTTTTTAGCAGAGATGTGATCTGATTTATAATGTAAAGTTCTCTATTTTCTGTGTTGAGAATAGACTGTGGAGGGAAGGGTAGAGCATAGGAGGTCAGTTAGGTGGCTATTATCACACCAATGCAGGTGAGCCCCAAACTTTGATGCACATTTGAATCACCTAGAGAGTAGTGAAAAATTCCAGTACTGTACTCGGGTCAGATCCTATACCAATTAAATCAAAATATCAAGGAGTGGGAGCCAGGCATTAGTATTTTTAAAGAGATCCTTGGGTGATTCTAATGGGCAGCAAAGTTTGGGGACCACTGAACAAGGCCAGAGATCATTATGACTTGAATCAGTTTAGTCAGCAGTGGAGGTGGTAAGAAGTGTTCAGATTCTGAATATATTTTGAAGATTTCTATAAAACTTCCTGACAGATCAGATGTGGAATATGAAAGACAGACATAAACATCAAGGATGACACTGAAGCTTTTGGACCTGAGGGACTGGAACCATGTCATTGCTGCTTAATGAAATGGAGAAGACTTTAGGTGGAGTGGGGTTTTAAGCGGGGGCATAAGGGGGTCAATTTGGACATGTTGTGTTTGGGATGCTTAGTGAGCAGTAAGACGTGAACATGATTGGGCTAGTAGAGATACCAGTTGAGAGTTAGAGGCATGGAGGGGAAATTTAAAGCTATGAAACAGGATGACTATGGAAAAGAAAGGGAAAAGGCCAAAGACTAAGCTTTGGGGTACTCTATTATCATCAGACTGAGGAGAAGAGGCGTAACCAGCAAAGAAGGCTGAGGAGTTGCCTCCAGGGAGGTGGGAAGAAAACGAGGAGAGTGAGTTGCCTAGAAGCCAAGTGAAGAAAGTGATTTAAGGAGGAGGGAGTGATCCCCTGGGTGAAATACTATTGTGTGTCAAGTAAGATGAGGTTTGAAAATTGATGAGGATCAAGGGGAATTTAATAAGAATGGTTTCATGGAATGGTAGAAGGGAAAGCTTGACTAGAGTAGCTTTATGATAGATTGGGAGGAGACTATTTTGAGACAGTGAGTTTAGATAACTCTTTGGAGGAGTTTTGCCATAAAGAAATACAGAGAAATGGGATAGTAACTGGCAGGGAACTTGGGGTCAAAGGGAGTATGTGTTTGTTAAAAAGGAATAATTAACAGCAAGTTTGTACATCTAAGGGAGTAATCCAATGTAGAGTGAAAAGCTGATAAATTAAAAGAAGAGGGGGG